CTAGGAGGAAGGGAGGCGCCGAAGACGGAAGGGAACCGGTTCGAGAAGCGAGTGTGGGCCGCGGGAGGCCCGGCGGGGACCGTGCAGAGCGGCGGCCGAGTCCGAGGTGGGGCGGAGGGATCGAAGTTGTCAGACCGCCTCCAAGTGACAGCAGGACCCCGTTCTCGTGGCCCGGCCTGGTCCTGCTCTGCCCGCCTCGCGGCCGCTGCTTTGGGGCCGGGTCAGGTCGAGCCCGAGGGGCCCGCTCGGCGTTGAAGCGCCGGACAAAGGCGGCGCCGGAGCGGGCGCAGGTGGTGGCGTCGGGGAGGGGAGCGGGTCCGAGCTACCCACCCCTCGGGGCGGGCGACAGGCCCGGACTCTGCCCGGTGAATTGCGGGGGCACCCGGGGTGCCCGCCGGGAGGAGCTGTGGCACTGGTTCACAGTTCCAGCCACGGATCGCCTCGAGGTTCTGGGAAGAGTGGGGTCGACCCAGCCAGGGTGGAGGGGCACAGGGGCAGAGGTGGGAGTGCATACCCTGGTCCTGGCCTGTAATGACTTGGTTGCTGAACTCACTGAGGCAACAGGCCGGTGAACCACTAGAGCCTGCCAGGAATAAGGGGTCTCCGCAAGCAGTCTGCCCACGGAAAGAGGTTTAATCCTACCTGGGACATCTCCCAGTCGTCCATTGTCGACATTTTTAAGAGGATAGGTATCAGTTGCATTGGGGACTAGGAGACACCCTCCAGATGTGCTCTAGCAATCCATCCACAACTGCTTTCAGCACTTTTTTTATTTTTATTTTAGTCAAAGAAGGTACCCACATAGGGAAATGAGAAGCTGAGTTTATAAATTCAGGCAGAAATTTAATGATTAAATACAAAAGGCTTCCAATTCTTTTCCTTTGTGCCACCTGAGGGACTTTACTTCCTACTTTCTCCATCTCCATTTCTTCTGGAAAAGGGTCCAGGAGGGACACTGCTGTGCTTGGCCAGCTGGAGGAGGACACTTTGGAACCAGTGGCTTAAGCTTTGAGTTCCTCTAACCCCACCAGTGACCATCTCTAAGCTAGGTGCTGTTTTCCCGTTTGTAAAAACCCACTCAGAGAGCCTGTGTCCCCTCATGTGACCCCCAAATGGAAGAGTTGGGAGCACAAAGACAGGGAGACTCGGGCTGTATAGAATGCAGACTTCTGCTGAGAATCTGGGTTTGAGTCCCACCTCAGGTAGGTGTTGGTGAAGAGCTGCTCCCAGCTGTGGTTAGCTTTAATCTCACCCTGCGAAAGCTGCCTGCCAGCCTTGCTTAGTGTGGGTATGGAGTTAATTTATGGCCACCCTTCATCCTTAGTGGGTCTAGACCCCAGCCTGAATGGAGTTGAGGCTTGTGGGAATGAGTTGTCTTACCTTATGTGAGAGACTAAAGTTTGTTCTGAGATAATTTAATTGTATGTCTAAGATAAAGAGAATGATGAAGGCCCTCGTGCCTTCTCTGGGGCTACACGGTATGTGATTTCTTTTGGTGGCAGTAAGAAGGGGGTGACCTGGTCTAGCCACGGCATGTAAAGGGCTATTAATTGCCAAAACAGTGGTTTTCTTCTTCGACAGGCTCTTCCCTGGCAGGAGTCTCATGTCAGTCAGCTCAAGTGTTTAGGAGGGTTTGCTCTGGAGAAGTTAGCGAGTGAGGAGGTTCTCTCTTTTTTATATCTCCTTCCTTTTCTTCCTTTCTGTTGCCCTGCTGTCCCCATGTCAGACCTGTGTTGTCATGGCCTCCCTTTTTCTCCAGCTTCCTCTGGTCCTTATGATCCAGTCTGTACACAGCTGCTAGATCATTCTTCTTAAAGCACTTCTTTCCTGTGTCACTCCCCTATCCACAGACTTGCAGTGGCACCCCTTTTCCTGCAGTCTTATCCCAGATAGTTCTCCTCTGACTCTCCCCTAGCCATGTCATCCACATTTATCTCCCTGCATCTTTGCTCCTGCTCCTTTCCACAGTTGTCCCCAATGAGGAGCCCTTTGCCTTCCTCTTCTCCCACCTGAACCCTACTCATCCTTCCTCTCCCTGTCACTCAGACCACTCCAGGCCAACATTGAATGTCAAGTGTGTGTGTGTATGTGTGTGTGTGTGTATTCCAGGATTTCTGATAGAGTGCTATACACATGGCTTTTGTTGGATGAATAAATGCAATTGTCGTCTTAGTTGG